ATGCCTCTTCCTTTTCCGTTGAAGCATGGTAGAGTCAGGCTGGAGCTTTCCAAAGGAAATTTCAATTTCAAAAGGCAGAAGAAGAGGCTAGGGATTTAGCTCAGTGGCATAAGCACCTGCCTGGGAAGCGTGAGGTCATGAGTTTGATCCCTGGTACAAAAGAAAGAGAGAAAGAAAGAAAGGAAGAAGGGAAGGGAAGGGAAGGGAAGTTACTTTCGTCTTGGGGAGTTGATACATACACATTTCACATCTTAATCCTTTTTATTCTCTCCCCCATCTCTAGATCCCTTTCTTATTTTCAAAATGCTTTTTCTCTCTTGTTTCCTTTTCTGTATCTTTTATTTTGCTCTTTATTTATGCTTTGGGTTTCTCATATACAAGAAACCATATGATATTTAACTGTTGTGTTTATTTCCTAAGCATTATGGTCTCAAAATGCATCCATTTTCCTACAAATGACTCAGATTTATTCTTTTTTATGGCAGAGTAGTACTCCATTGTGTTTGTATGCCACCTTTTCTTTATCTGTTCATTTGCTGATGTACACATAAGCCACTTCAGTGTTTAGCTATTCTGACTTGTGCTGCTGTAAACATGAGTATGCATGGATCGCTGAAATGTGACATTTTTTAAACTCTTTCATGAAGATATCTTGAAGGAGATTAACTGGGTCAAATAGAATTTATAATTTCAGTTTTTTGAGGACTGTCCATAATGATTTTACTAGTTTACATTCCCATCAACACTGTAGAATGGTTCCTTTTTTGAGTTCTTGATGGTAGCTTTTCTTTTGGGAGTAAGCTGAAATCTCAGTGTTGTTTTAATTTGCATTTCTCTGATGGCCCAACAGGTTGAACACTTTTCATATACTAATTGGCCATTTATATTTCTTCTTCAGGGAAATATCTATTCATTTCAGTTACACATTTTCTGATTGTGTCTTCTTTTTAGAGAATCTAATTTTTTTGAGTTCTTTGTATATTGTAGGTAGTAGTCCTCTGTCTGAGGAATAGTTGGCAATTTTTCTTTCATTCTGTAAGTTTCTCTTCACTATGCTGGTTGTTTCCTTTGCTGTGCAGACAATTTTTAATTGGAGGTAATCCCATTTGTTGAGTCTGTTATTTCTTGTGCAAATGAGTCTCTGTTCAGAAAGTCCTCCACTCATAAAGTCTACAAGAGGTTTGCTTATTTTATCATCCAGCAGATTGAGTGTTTCTGTTTTAATATTTGGTCTTTGATCCATTTTGATTTCATTTTAGTGCATTATGAGAGTTCTAAGTCTAGATCCAGTCTTCTGTGTGTGAATAACTAGTTTCCCCAGCTGGTTTTTTTTATATTGCCTAGAATGGTCTCGAATTTGTAATCCACCTGCCTCAGCCTCCCAACAATATTAATTTCTTAGTTTTGACAAATGTACCATGGTTATATAAAATTAGCCTTAGGGGAGACTGAGTGAAAAGTAGATAGGAACTCTATAATCTTTGTAATTTTTCTGTAAATATAAAATTACTTCAAGATAAGAATTTTACAAGGCAGAGTGGGGATCAAAAATGGACAAAGACAATCAAAAATTCAAGTGTAGTGCGGCTTACACTGCTTAGGTGTCTGGTCTCCAATCCTAGGAGGAAAGCAAAAGGCTCTCTTGTGCCAAAAGCATTTAGGGTCAAATTTATCCCAAGACGACCACCCTGGCCCTTGGCGGATTCCCTGTCTGAGGTCTGGCTCTTGGGAGCTGGCTGGGCGTCTCTGATGGCCAGGCAGTGACCTGCTTTTCCTTCCCTCTTTCTAAATGCTCACAACCCCACAGTGGGTGCCCACTTCATTCCACAGTGACTAGCTCCAGGGAATAATCCTATTGGAAGAGACTTTCTTTCTCCTTCATGGTACATCCCCAGCCTTAAAAAAAATTTTTTTCCCTTTAGACTGAGTCTACAGTGCTAAATCACTGGGTTGCTCAGGCATGACTTAAACTTTCAACCCCTCCGCCTCAGCCTCACAGAATTCTGTGATTTACAAGTGTGGGCCAACATGCCTGGCTTAGCTGAGAAACACATTCTTAAAATAAAATCTAACATGGAGACCCACAGTGGTCTGAGGGTCTCCCCTCCCACTCGTGTTGAGATCATAACACCGAACATAATGTTGTGAGGAAGCAGGACCTTTGGGGAGTGACTGGGTCCTGAGAGTGAAGCCTTGGGAACTAGGATTAGTGCCCTTGTCCAGGAGAGACCTTTTACCTTGCAGCATGTGAGAGCAAGGCAAGAAATTGTCTTCTGTGAGCCATAAAGGATTCGCAGTAAACCCTGAACCTGCCAGTTCTTGGGCCAGATCTTGGGCTTCCAGCGCGGAACTGTCAGAAATACTTATTTGTTGTTTATAAACCACACAATCTACCGAGTTTTTTTTTATACCAGCCAAAAAGGACTAAGAGAGAACCAATATTTAAAATACTGAAGCTGGCTAAAGTAGGGGAATCTCCCCGCCACCACTTTGTCCTTCCTCGTGGCAGCTACAGAGCAGGTCCAGGAGCTTTTGGGAAACCCCCAAGCCCTACCCAGCTCAGGTTGTCAGCCGTCCCATCCCTGGAGCTCTTCACGATGGGCTTCTCAGATTTGTGTCCCTTACCCACCAGAGGGAACAAGTATGCAAAAGTCCTAAGCGTTCATGAGGAAAATATACCCGAGTCAAACAGTCAACACAGGCCAGGAGCACTGGGACCTGCGCTTTCCACCCACTCGTGGTCAAGCCTCCCCATACAGTCATCCCTACATCTCTTGCTCCTGCAATTGTAGGCACTTTATGTTTCCTCCTGGGGCGGGAGAAAAAGAATTGCATTGAGTCTAGAGTAGTCGGTGTTTTTAAAACTGGAATCAGATCTTTCTCTAAATTATCTAAGCTTCAATCAGGTCCTTTGCTTCTCTGTGTGTCTCCCTGTCTGTCTCTCTCTGTCTCTGTCTCTCTGTCTCTCTCTGTCTCTGTCTCTCTGTCTCTGTCTCTCTCTCTCTCTCTCTCTCTCTCTCTGTCTCTCTCTCTCTCTCTCTCTGTCTCTCTCTCTCTCTGTCTCTCTCTCTCTCTCTCTGTCTCTCTCTCTCTCTCTCTGTCTCTCTCTCTCTCTGCTACAGGGCAAAGCTTCTTGAACGTGCAGAGAGCTGGGGGTTGCCCCAGTCAGGCAGAGCTAAAAACCAGTAGCTCCAACTGAGGCTCACATCCCATGGCTTCCTCAGCCCCACCAGTTCTCAATTGCAGCCTCCTCCGCTCTGGCGCGCTGGGCTCAGGCTTAGCAGACATGGTGACAGCATCCCTCTGATGCCTGTTGGCATTAGTGGAAAAGTCGGCTCTGAAACCACTGAGGGGTTTAGTGTACTGGGGGTGAGAGCTGGAGGAGCAGTGTAGACAGCGAGACAGCTGCTCTAAACAGCAGTGACTCACTGCTCTCCTGCCTGCCGCCCCAGTCCTGGTGTGAACCTGGAAGCTGGGGAGACGGTTACCTCCTCAGCCTGTTAATTTGCTCTCTCAGACAGAAGCTAAAGGGCTGAGCTGATGATTGTAGCAGTTAAGGTTTAGGCTAGATGTCCAAAATGATACTCCGAACTTTGTGGTCGCCAAAAGATGTGTCTCCGGGGAGGCATCCAGTCTTTTGCCTGATTCCACTTGCCCGAGGTTGCCGCTCAGCCCTCTGTCTCAGCCATCTCTTCTCCTGTGACTTGACGACTCTCTTTGTGAATGGACATCGTATAGTCCCAATGTGGCATTGCTGCCTTCTTAGGAAACATATGTGCCTTCCCTTGTCTCCTCCCCAGTCACCCCTGCGGCCTTTACTTCGGGTGACACAGGATCTGCCATTGCTTTATCGTTCATGTGCCTGAATTCTCTTCTCCATAGTTACCCAAAATTTGGGTACCCAGGTATCACCGAACTCCTTCCCTTTTTTGAAGGAAGATTGAAACCAGCCCCATCTCAGAACTATAGGACTCTGTTTCAAAGAGCTGGCAAGCAGGCAGGCAAGGAGTCAGAATTTTGGTGCTCAGCATTGGAATAGTTTCTTTATCAACCTGCTCCAAGTCACTGTGAGGGAAAGATCATTATACCCATTTTACAGATGCATTGCTCAGACTCAGATTAGTAGATTTCCCCAGTTTCATAGGCAGTAGGGGCATCAGTCTGGATGGAAGCCAAGCCCTTCAGTATAAGGGGAAGGACTCTTTCCACTCCACCAGTCTGTGGTGATTGAGATAATGTATTGGTTGCAGGCCAAAAATAACCATGTAACTGGCCACTTCCTGAGCACCCACTCTGTGCCAGCACCCCTCACTTGCTCTCATTTATTCTTGCAACAACCCTGTGAGATACGTGGGTGCTATTCCCATGGAACAGATGAGAAAACTGAAGCTCAAAGAAGTCAGGCCACTTGATCAGGTCACACATTAAGGAAGGGGCAGAGATTCAAACTCAAGTTTTTGACACTGAAGCCCATGCTGTTTCCACAGTATCATGGTGTCTTGCAGAATTTTCCTGCTCTGATATTTTAGGAACTTGGTTTTTTTTTTGTGTGTGTGTGTGTGTCTCCATTCACCCTGCTACCATGTAAACACAGCTATAAAAAATATATTAATGCATGTTTGTTATGCTTTGTTGTTTCTACCGAGGGCATCTAAGCAAATATACAAATGCTGACTCAGCCCCAGGGAGGTTACGTTTTCTCTTTTTGCTTCCCATTTCTTCCCCACTTCTCTTCATTCTAGTCCTGTCTCCTGCTTCTCTCCTATGCCTTTGTGTCACCCCCAGGGTGTTTCTCTACTTTCCCACCTTCCTATTCCATCTTTCCTGCTCCTTTAGACCTTGGCAGCCAATCTTGTAACTCTAGCATCCTGTTGCCAAGCAACAGACTTCCTACCTGCCCCATTGTGTTAGAATCTCCATGACAACAAGTGTTGCCAAAAGAGAGAGAGAGAGAGAGAGAGAGAGAGAGAGAGAGAGAGAGAGAGAGGAGGGTTAGATCATGGCAGGAGGAAGTGCTTTATTTCAGGACATTAAAATACTTTTGCCAACAATAACTTGCTCACTCTCGGGGTTCCCAGAGGATATCACACATTGCCTGAACCCAAACCCCCTGAGACAGCAAGCCATGGGACTAAGAGGATTGTGGTCTCTAGCTTAAGGACATTCATGTGAGAGGCAAGGATTAGAACTATGGGCACTGGTTGTTCAAGCAGGTGAGCCAATTCAGGAAGCAGCCCATTGAGGGAAGACTTTTCAGTAGCTGCACAAAAGGTACTGGAGAGGAGGACATTTCCATAAGACGTGGAGAGGGGTGTAACAGAATAAGGCCAGGCCAACCAGCAGCATTAGGGAATGGTAGGAGACAGAGGATGAGGTATGTCACAAACTGATTGTGGGCCACACAAGCTCCTGCCCAAACACTTAGGGGTGCATATAAGCCCTGAGTGGCTCCTGTAGTCCTGCTTCATGCAGTGGATGGTCTCAGCAACGTCTGCTTCCCTTCCACTTTGCCTTCCAGCTGCAAGGGCCTGGAGGAAGCCTGCAGAGAGAGGGAAGGAGGGAAAGGAAGTGAGAACAACATTGCATTTCCAAAGAGGAGAGCCTGGCTACTCTAGCTACAGACTTGAGGATTTGACAGATATTCACCAAGAATCTGTGGGACTAGGAAGACGAAGTTAAGGGATGTTTTAGAGGCATATGTTTGTAATCCCAGTTATTTAGGAGGTTGAGGCAGGAGAGTCACAATTTTGAGGACAGCCTGGACAACTTAGTGAAACTCCTCCAACAATATGAAGGGCTGGAGATACAGTTCAGTGTTCCCTGGATTTGACTCCCAGTACTGAAAAAAAAAAAAAAAAAAAAAAAAAAAAAGGTGAAAAAAGAAGGAAAAAGAGAGAGAGGGAAAAAAGAGCGAGGAAAAGGGGAAAGAAAAGTAGAGGGGGGGGGGTGTAGCAAGAGAGGAAGGGAGGAAAGGGAAGACCTGAGGAGGGAGTCGAAGAAGGCCTGGGTTGGTCAGGGCACCTAGACACTACCTCGCAGGACGTGTGGCTGAGACCAGCCAGAGCCCTCAGGCAGGCAAGGCCCTTCATACTGTACTTCTCCTCTCCCAGAACAAAGTAGCAGTCGCTTGAGCTGTCTTTATTGTTCAGTGCAGATCATACACGGGATGCACTCCAACCCCTATCCCTGCCGCTGTCAGTACCTGCACTCATAGGAACTCTGTAAACCCAGAAATAACCCATTTTCCTCGGTGGTGCTCCAGGCGCAGGCCAAGCCTTTCCAAGGGCCAAGGGCCATCCCATTGTCCTGTTCCTACACTTGACCCTGAGCATTCCAGCCAGAGGAGCAGCTCTGCCCTTCCCAACTCCAACAGAAGGACAAGAAAGACCCAGTGCTAGTACTTAGTGCTCCTCACGGACAAAAAGTTCTTCCTAAGTGTCCACTTAAATCTCTATTGTGTTTTTGTCTGTGTTCAGTGGGGAGGGAGAACAGAACGGGATCTCCTGGCTGCCAGGCTGCCTTGTGTGTCTACTCCTCCGGCTCTGCTCCCTGCTTGGCCTGATGCTCCTGAGCACATGCACAGTGTTCTTCATGCTCTTGGTATGTGTAGCCCAAGGGAGGTCCAGGCCCCCAGCAGGCTCGGTCGTACTGCTGAGCAAAGCAGTTTAGATACTAGAGACTTGCTGCTCAGAAGGCTGCCATGACTCATACACTGCAGACTCCACTGCAGGAAGGAGGAGCTGGCTCATCTTGCTGAATGGCACTCTGCGATTAGTAACCAGGAGTCTCTCTAGGACCTTTGGAGTACTGATATTTCTTCTAAGAATGTAGCCTGGGGTTCAAGAAAAACTTGTTTGGATGTTTATCATCCTGCTGTGCATTACAGTGGAAACTGGAAACAAGCTGCATAGCTAGTGATGGTGGGGTTATTTTTATAGACTATATTCACGTAATAGTTTATTATCTGGTAAGTATGCTTTTGAATAAATTTGAAAGACTTTAAAAGGTAAAAGAGTTTTCCAGGCACAGTGTCACATACCTGTAACCCAGCTATTCAGGATGCTGAGGCAGGAAGTTCTTGTGGAGTCTGGGCAATTTAAAGAGGTCTGTCTCAAAATAAAGTTTAAGAAAGGGCTGAGAAAAAAAATAATAAAATAAAAAAAGGGCTGAGGGCTGGGCATGGTGTCACACACCTACAATCTCAACATTTAGAAGGCTGAGGCAAGAGAATTGCTGTGAGTTTGAGGGTAGCCTGAGTTACATAAGCAAATTCAAGGCCAGCCTGGACTACATAGTGAAACACTGTCTCAAAAACAAACAAACAAGCAAAAGGGCTGGAGATGCTCAGTAGTAGAACACTTGCCTAGCAGGTCGAAAACCCTGAGTTCAAGCCCCAGTACTGCCCCCCCAAAAATGTTTAGTGCATAATGAAAAGATATAAAAGGTGGATATAGTATAGTCACATTTCTTTTTTCTTTTTTGATACTGGGAATTGAATTCATGACCTTGCACTTGCCAGGCAAGCATTTGTGTCACTGAGCTAAATTCCTGGCCCTATAGTCACATTTCTATTATGCATGTATAGTAAAAAGCCTAGAAAAATCAAAACACTTTAAATAATGTTAATCATCATCTTAGTACAGTGATAGGATAGTAAGGAGTACATATTTTCTTATTTAGATTTTTCAAGATGTTGTTTTCTTCTAAGGTGAATGTTGTTATTTTCATGAGTAGTGAGTTCTGCCTTTTTGAAAAATAGTACTGGGGACTGAACCTAGGGGCTACATCCCCAGCCCTTTAAAAATTTATTTTGAGACTGGGCCACACTAAATTGCCAGACTGAGCTCAAATTTGTCATCCTCTTGCCTCAGCCTCCCAGAGTGTGGGGATTATAGGTGTGAGTCACCACATGCAGCTAAGAAAACACTGTTACTATTTCCCATGTGTTCCTGATAAACATTTTTAATAATGCTATTTCATCTTCATAGTTTCTCAATGATGTTAGTATCCTTGTTTGTCAGATGAGGAAACTAAAGCTTAGATAAGTTAAGTGACTTTCTCAAAGCTGCACAGCTTATAGATAAATAACCAACAATGCCTCCCAGAAGCTATGAGAGGTTAATACTGTCATTCATCATGGCAGTGTGGGCCGGGAAGGGGTGCTGATCTGCACAGCCTAATGCGTTTCTGGTCTAAGTGTGCAGGTGCTAATGCGTCTCAGCTTTGCTTATTGGTAGCTCTAGTCAGACCTGCTGATCAGTCATTCCAGGGGAAGGGAACGCTGTTCAGAGACCTGTGCCTGCACTTCCAGGATAGTGAGGCCCTGAGCATAATGTCACCAGAGGAAGGTGGTTGTATCTAGGGTGTGGCTGGCAGGATGGCAATGAGAGGGGTTGTGTTGCCAGCTTCAGCTCATGCTGAGAGTCCCATAAATCTACCTGTCAGCCTCCTGGTGTTTGTCAGGACACTGGCCCTTAGGAAGCTATATTGAGGGAGCCTCACCACTCATGGAATTACCCCCTGACAGTCAGGGCCAGGGTGGGAGGAGGAACGTCCTCCATGCTTGACCACCACCTAATGTCTGCTGCTGAAAGCCGGAGTCCCCTGGCTTGGCAGCATGGGGGTCCAAGCACGGTTTTAGCTTGTCTTGGAGGGAGGCTGGAGAGGCCAGCAGGATACAGAACTTGACTGCACACAGGACACACAGTCACACAGGCAACAGGTGTTCCTTTGCTCCTCGGGAACAAGAGGCGAAAGGACTAGGGTTCTCTTTCATGCTGGAATTGCTGGCCTCACTTGTCAGTGGTAGGGCAGAGGCCCAGAACATGAATGATGCCAGGAGACATTGACACTGGAGTTCATTCCAATATCGCTGACTGCTGGACCCACCACCAACTTTCAGCTCCTGCCCCTTACCTAGCTCATTGCTTGCCCCTTTGGCACCACCTGGACAGGTAGAGCTTATTGCTAGTACTACCAGCCTGGTGCTGACCTAACTTGGCAGGCAGCCTGATCCAAATTCCACTGACAGGTTTGGAATCACACTGCAGGTCTAGCCCTCTCTGAGTTCCAGGATGTGACATTCCAGGAAGAGAACCAGCCCACCCCCAGAAGAGGCTTTCAAGAAGAACCTAGAACCTCCCAAACCCTCCTGCAAGAACCTCCCTTCCCTTCCTCAGCCCAGTGGCTGTGGCCTTTGGGGCCAGGAAGGATGTGGGATTCGAGTGATACATTTTCATCTGTCTGACTGGAAAAGCTATTCATGGAGAAACACTGCAAGCTTTAAATTGGGGGAGAAGGAGGAGGAGGAGGAACACAAAGAGGAAGAGGAAGGAGGAGGACGAGAAGAGGAGGAGGAAGAGGAGGAAGACCTCTAGTATCTTGGCAGGGGGTGGGGGGTGAGAGTTAGAGGGGACTGCATGGATTGTCTGTGGGCCACCTCCCCCCCTAGGCATTTGTACCCCCATAAAGTCTAACCTCCCTTACTGGGAGCACCCTGGAGCTGGGGTGGCAGGCAGGAGGATGGCAGGCTTGTTCGGGAACAGAGGAGCAGGGAGAAATGAGAGATGAAGGAAACTGTGCTGGCAGCTCATGCTTCCCTTGCCAGCTCAACTTCCTGGGAGGTATTTATAACGCAGGCCTCCAGCCCCTCTGTGATTTGTGGGACGGTTTTAACCATTGATTTTCATTAGCACTAAATCATTTTTCTTCGCTAATTGAAAAGAAACCAAGGATACTGAGAGTGGAACCATTTGACAGGATCAAATCAGCAAAAACTGCTAATATGCTGACACAGCAAAGAGTCTCCAGCTGGGAGGTTTGGGGGGCCCTCCCTGAAATTTAAAATCTACTTTTCTTTCTGAGGCCAGAGGCTATAAGAAACAAGCCCTCAGAATGAAGAACTGGGAAGTGAATTTGGTTCCAGAACTTCCAGCTCTAGCAGATGAAATAAGAGATTCTGAGAGGTGTTGGAGGAAGGCAGCGAGCATCTCTCCTGTGTGCACGTTTGAGATCCCCGGATGTTCTGCTTCTGTCAGGCGGGGGGTAGGCAGGACAGCGCAGGGCCAGGGACCTGCTGGGAAGCAGGTGGCAGGGCTGCTCTGGGAACACCAAGTCGGAGTATTAAGTGTTCACATGCCTCTTCCAGGAAAGGGCTTGCCTGGGATGGGCATGGAAGGCAGGCTCTGGGCTCTTGCCTGATCACTTCTCTCTAAATGCCAGGAAGCAGAACAGTCCTGCTTCACCTCAGCTGGCTCCATCTTTCCTCTGTAGGAACACATTGCCGTCTGATGAGAAAGAAAACCATGGCACAGTCCTAAGGACAAGAGAATTCCTGAGGGTGTTGGCAGAGCCCTGGCTCTGGATGGAGATGAGGAGGGGACTGATGAGTCCCACCGCTGTGAACAATTCTAATCCTCATTCTGAGCCAGGAGCCAGCCAGGCGGGCGCTGTGGGGACTGAGTGCCCCCACACTCCCTTGCCAAGTCCTAGCCAGCCGACCCCAGCCTCCTCTGCTTCTGCCAGTGCTTGGCCTGCTCT